ACGTTTTCCTGATGCCTAACAAAAAACTGCATCTTAGGAATTTTCAATGAGTGTAATCTTCTGCATGAAGTCCAATTCGATTGTGATTTTCTTTATCTGCTGTTTAAGAGTTTAATAGCTGAAAAACTTTTATAAATAATACATTCCACAAAAATCCTCTGCTTACTATAAACACCAAAGTCCCTATTTTTATGTTATTCTTGAAGAATTATGCATTTTCTACTCAATGGAGTAATGCTGGCATCAAGAAACAATAACTCACAAAAATAACATATTATACTTTTGGAGTAAAAAAAAAATCAGATATATGCTTTGGACAAGATAGGCACAGTATCAGAAGTTTACAATGGCATTGTAGCAAAAATTCACCAGTCTGTAAAAGCTTAATCTCTACTCCATTGTGTCTGTTAATCTTATTTGGTATTTACATAATACTTCATTCTTAATGTCTTTAAAAAAGGAATATAGAAAAGCAGTATTCATTTCAGTTTTGAAGACAGTCTGTTTTCATTCTTATAAACAACTTTTTTCTTGACAAAGGCTCTGTATTTTTATTAATGCAAAACTGAATTTGTTTGTTAAGTAGAATGAAATCAGATCCTCAATGAAAAATTTGTTTTGGTCACAAATTAGAAGCATCACAGTTAAACTAAAGCTGGTTAGTTATCCTCAGTTCTCAGAAGCCTCTTCATGCAAAAACTCAGCAAGGGTTCTGGATGGTCACAACAACCAAACACAGAAATTAAAATAATATCAATAAAACATAAAAAAAATATCAATGAACAATGTCAAGCACGATGAAGCAAAAGATCTCACTACCTCACCAAAGGCCTGGTGAGCTGAAGAGAGAGATCTTCATGGCTCATATAAACAATAGCAGAGTAAGATCTCAGAGGAAATGTTGTTCCAGAGGGTGCTGCTTCCAGGGTCTTGAGAGATGACATTGCTTAATTAAAGGACCCCTGAGTATGACGACCAGGCAGAATCAAATCGTCCAAGCAGATGTCATGGAAGATAGGCAGTCCTTCAAGTAACCAGACCTTATGCCATTTAGGGCTTTATAAGGAACAATCGGCACCTTGAATCACACTCAGATACAAACTGAGAAGCAGTGCAGCTTGCAAATTACATGTGCATACCAAGCCATGCCAATTATTATTCATGCCACTGCATTCTGGTCCAGTTGAAGATTCTTCATGGTTTTCAAGGGAAGCCCCAAATAAGGGACCATTGCTGTAGTCAGTTAAAAGGTCACTACAGGATGAGCAATTCTCTGAAATGTCCGCTGATCTAGAAAAGGGTGCAACTCGAACAGCAGATAAAATTATGTAAACCCTTCCTGGCTGCAACTAACATCTGCTCTTATGTTATACAGACAATGTGATATGACTATAACACGGGCAATAAGATACTTGATGAAAACAGTTCATAGCTTTGGAGAATTCTCTGGATACAAAATCAATATCTAAAAAAATAATTAAAAATAAACTTGACATAAGGAGAAGACTTCTTGCAGAAAGAATGTGGCTGTGAGATAATACACTCAGTGAAATTTCTTGGTTTGTATTTCACAGGTAATAATCAAGATACATATCAAAATAATTATGGCAGATTATGGCATGAAATTAAAATTGCTTTTGAAAAGTGAAAAAACTTAAAGCCTTACTGGTTAATCCAAATACAACAATGGGCAGAGATGTGGAACAGATCTATAAAATTTACCAAGCTAACTTTTAAGAGTCTGCTTTACAGATGGTATACAACTCTATCAATAATTGCCCAAAGAGATAAATCATAAAGCAATAAATACTGGAAATGCCACAAGATATAAGGGATATATGTTCAAAACCCCCACAAAACCATTGGAAATACATATAAAGCACTATTTAGAGAGTTGTAGGATCAAATTAGAAATGTAACTAAGTTTTTAAAGTAGTTACAATTCCAGAATATGATAAGCAATCGTAATTTATTAAAATATGTGCTTACTGCCATGAGGATAAATTTTGCATAACTCTAGAAAAAAAGACATTTAAGGACTCCTCTAGTTATTATGGCAATTGGGGCTAGAACTTCCATTGCTAAGTGATATGGTTGTAACACACAATATCACATGAGGGCATCACTTGGCAGTAGTAATTCCTGCAATCCCCATTCCAATCACTAAATGAGGATCATGGATTAATTGAACATTTTCTGCTGGCTTTCAACAACCAAAATCAATAGGAAAGCTTGCAGGAATTTGCAAGTCCCAGATGGTTCGCAAGCAGGTTGGCTGGCTGGCAGGTGGGAGAGGGTGTGTGTGTGTCTGGCCATTGAGGAGCAGTGAAAGGCAGAGGGGCTTTGGGTAGTTGGTGCCATATGAGACAGGTACACAAAATGGTGTGGCAGGGAAGGTGTGACATGAGTGCGGAAGCTGAGGTAGCTGCTGCAGATGGGAAAGGTGGGTGAGAGGGCAGGGAAACATTACACAAGTGCAGTGAGGCTCAAGAAGGATGTGCAGGTGGGGAAGACTTGCCCAAACAACTCGTGACGTTTTCTGGCAGCTTCCCCGTTGACTTTAGTTGAGGAAAGCTGCCAGGAAAGTTGCAAGATCACATAACCCTGGGATGAGGCAACCATTGTAAGTGCTAGTCAATTTCCAAGTGCCCAGATCATAATCATATGACTGTTGGATACTGGGATGACCAGAATTTGAGGACTGGTCATAATCACAAATGGCTCTGAAATCCACCCAGATTATCCTAGATATGATGAGAATGCAGTTTGTCCAGTCTAAGATATTTTATATGTCTCTGGGGAAACTAACTGTGACACAAAACTCCTATCCTGTTCAGGCAGATAGAAATAACTAAGCAAATGGGTCCACATATCTCAAACCACCACATACAACAGTGCTGGAAAGTTTGTGAACACTTCTGAACGTTCAAAATTTCTGAATAAATAGTACTTTAAACGTGATCCCTGGGAGATAGAAGGAAAGCCACAGACCAGGTAACCATCATATCATAGCACAAATATGGAAAAGGGGTAGGAAGTATGTCAGGAGAGACACTCCCTAGTTTACTGGAACATAAACATAAAGGAGGGAAGAAGGATTTTCAAACTCGTAAGATTCTGTTACTCTAACTTTACGATAAAAGTAGTATTAGTTCGCATGATTTGTACTTCTTGACTGGAGCACCTCAGAGGACTGACATCAATCTTGTCAAACTGTCAAATTGACTCAACACAGAGAATCAGATGCCTTCAAACTGATTAGAACAGTCAAGGAACTTCTGGACATGGACACAGATTTTCTGTTGAATCAGAGTTTAGATTCACATTGCAAATTTGAATTGAATTGGCTCAGCTCACTGAAGTGCAAATTCAAACTGAATCAACTCAACTCATGAATTCATACATTTAGAATGGGTCCTGGCTAACTCTTCATCTGTACTTTTTTCACTTTTGTCAATAATTTCTCCTAATGTGACAGTTTCATCTATGTCATTAGTGTATCAGATACATATTTAGAGTTTTTGAAGTTCAGCACCAAACATGCCTTGAAATATGTCTCTGTAAGCCTTACACACACAGTAGAAAAGATACTGAGACCAAAAGTGTCTTTTTTTCTCTTTTTACTAAGACAAAAATCTGTGACATGTTACAATAGAAAAATAAGTTAAAGATAGATTGGCATAACACTCTTATAACCAACTCAATAATATTTTAAATCAAGATCTAATTATGTATTTGTTCCATAGGGAAGCAAAAGAAAATTAACTGTCCAGTTTGGATAAATGAAGTGGATTGGCAGTCTCATTTCCACTGATGTAGTTGCTTTACTTAATAATTCATGGCTTATATTTGACAGATACTGTTCAGCAGACAACCTCAGTTACTATTCACTTATCTTCAAAATCATAACAAATTCTTAAGTGTCACATCTCCATCAATAAATACATTCCAGATGTAGCCTGATGCAGGTAAAATCAAACTCCCAAATATTTACAGAAAGTATTTTCTATACCATTTTGCATTACTTTTCCAGAGGTTTACTAAGAAAGACACAATAAATTGTTCTATTTAATATGCTACATTTTATAATCCTTGCTAGCCACTGACATGGTATCTCAATCAATAGAAAGTAGGATGTTTTCTATTAAGTTTTCTCTAGAGTTTCCTCCCAAGAGCTATTCCTCTTTTCTGCACTTAATATGTATGTGTGTGTATATATACACGTACACACACATATGTACATATATGCATTAAGACTTTCATTCATTCATTTCTATATTTTATTCACTAAGATTCCTCTCCAAATTAAAATGAGCAATCAATGTATCCTCTCACATACTGAAAACCACTCTGATATTTAGCATAAACCTACACAGGAGTACCAATACATTCTCTTAATTAGGGGAATATACCTAGCAGTTGGTCGAAACATAGGAAAGTTTTATAGTTTCTGTTCTTGTTTCAGTCCCAGATTTCGGTATTTTTATAGACAGTCATTTAAACAGTTTTACTAGCAGCAAGTGTAAAGTGTACACTGTTGTATGAAAATCTGAAAAGCTACTGAAATTTACACTCTGTATACTCATGTATTTCCTGCAGTGGGAGCAGGGGAGAATACTTTCCTGAATTATTATAACAATAGAAACACCAGTAATGGTAAATCAGTAACCATCAAAATATCTGCATTGTAAAATGCACAGAAAATTGTGGTTTGTCTTACCTCAGGGATTAAAGGGAACTTTCGTTTTAGGCTTCTAAAACTACCTCCTTTGACTTACATGCAAAATTGCCCTTTCAGAGCTTGACAAGTTCCCAGTTACAAAATCTGCCTAAATCAGGAGGAGGTGATTAATGTGGCTCTAATGTAAGCACACAGCCAAAGTCTGTTTGTTTGTTTGTTTGTGTATTGACCCCAGCCAATAACTTTACCAGGTCTAGTGAATTCCAAATAAGAAACAAACATTGCTTGTCACTTACCAGCTCTTCACGAAGTTGGGAAATGAGTTCATCTTTCTCTTTTAGTTGCAGTTTCAGAGTCAAGCATTCGTCTTTCATTATATCCTATAATAACATCAAAAGAGATGTTACAAAGGGCTTAGCACTTTCCCCCCTGTTCCTCACAAGAAAAGACAATGTCACACTGTGCCAAATAATTACATCCAAGTAATGAATCTCGGGGCTCCCTTTTCATGTGTGATATTTCTAATAACATATTCTGCTAGTAATACAAATATTGTAACTTAATGCCACTGAAATACAAGCATATTATGTAAACCAAACTGTGAACGGAACCCTATGTGTTAAGTCCATTTGGTCAGTGTGTAATTCTTTTAAGCCCCTGCAGTGATCTGTGGATGAGTGTGTCTAATTACACAGCCAATGTTGCAATGTTTTCTAGTCATCTCCTCTTTCCAGAAAGTTATCAACATAAAGCAGTTTTGTTAGTTTATTTAACAGGGAACATAATAAAATCTGCGATAAAAAGTTGCAAGTGGAACTTGCCATAATATTTTGCAAAGCAAAGTGCTTTGATCTAAGATTCTATGCAGGCAGCTTTACCCTCTTCCAGGTTTCTTCATTCCTCTACATCAGTGGTATCATTTCTTTTTTTATTTCCCAATGCCAGGCTTTATTTCAAGGCAGGAATGCATCACCAGAAATTTAGGAACTTACAGGTACATAATATGTACTGAAGAATGTAAGAAGTCATATTCCAAGTATTATTGCATTTCAAAAATGATCTCTCTCTCTCTCTCCCTCTCTTTCTCTCTCCCTCTCTCAACATTTTGGTATATCTTTCCTGTTCTTGCCCTTCATAAAGAACTACTGAGATCCCTCTTTTAAGCAAGCTGATTTGCTGATCGTATAATTGAACCCGTCATATTTGCAAACTAACTCACATATACAGGATGTCAACATTCTGAAATTCTGTAAACACTGGGCTTTATGACAAATAAGGAATTTGTCAGGTGCAAGTGATCAGAAACAGGAGTTGAGTTCAAAGCACTAAAAGTTTATTACATACTACCTATATGCAAGAATCTGATCTACTGATAATCAAGACAAATTGGCATTAGATTAGAGCCAATAGAATTCATGGGGAGTGGTGGACTTAGCTTGGGATCTTCTGGCTCCCAATTCTTCTATTTCCAAAAAAACCATTCTCGGTAAAGGTGATTGCTATTCGTATTTATAGAATGCATTTCCACTTAATTGTATTTTTTGAAGAGGAATAAGCAAGGCCTCTATCTGAGAAGATTCCATGCCATCAACAAGTTGTAATTCCCAAAATTATTATGGAAAGGCACTGCAGTTAAACTTGCATAAATCTATGTCATTTTATAATATAGTTATACCTTTTGAATACAGATAGACCTCACTTAACAACTGTCCTTTTCAGCAAGTTACGTCAGTGCTGAAAAAATAACTTTAAGACTTGTTTCCACAATTACGTATGCCTCTTGTAACATTCCCATGATCATGTAATCAAGTTTCAGGCAATTTGCAGGAGGTGGGCATTTATACCATTGCAGAATCCTGTAGACACATGATCATCATTTTTGTGCTTTAGTCAGCTTCCAATAAGCAGAGTCAATGTAGAAGCCAGCAGTAAAACCATAAGACACAATCATATGATGTCCTGCTTAATAACTGTGAGCAATCTGCTTAATGACCATGATGATAGTGAAGTTGTAAATCTGTCACGATGTCTCACTTAGCAACAGACTTGCCAGTCATTGTAATCATTAAGCAAGGACTACCTATATTCAAATACCACTTATATTTACTATAAGACAGAAAACAGCGAATGCCAAAGGCCAGATATAGACCAGTCCTGAATTACCCCAGAAGGAAAGGGATATATCATGTATTGCCACTTCCCATTAAACTAAGCCAAGCCAAGCCAAATCACTTGTTTAAAGCCATTTCTCTCTCTGATATTAGTAGAAATTAGTTATGAAAGAGAGGAGTGGGAATAAGGATTTTTTTTACTGTTACTCAATTGTTATTTCTGGCACAACAGCCCCCTGCCAATAAATGTTGTCCTCTGCATTCAGAGAAGTTCACAGAAAGAGTGGCTCACGGAAAGAGCCATGAGATCCAAAGATCTATAGCAAATCTCATGCAAACAGGACATCGGCTTCTGTTTAATGGAATAAGACATGACAATAAAGAACAGAATGCTAAATAATCTGAACTACTTTTTCAGAGATTAACAACATAACATGCACACTAATATTCATTTGACTAAACTGTACTGTATGGGATTTGCAAACTGTTGATGAAATATATCTTTCTTTTTTTAAAAAAAGGGCCAAATCATTTAGTTTTCTGAAGAAATACTTAAGATACATATCACCCAATAATCTATCACCACTGAACAACAGAGTAAGAATATAGTGAAATGTGTAGAAACACTTGTGTGTATATGAGCCGAGACACTGACTGCAATCTAGCAACATCTCCATCAAAAAGCAGCTGGGATGAGCAGGAAAATGTATGTCTACCTTTGAAAGAACTGAAAAATAACAAATACTAGAAAATCTGAGGTGAAGAACAGGTTGTAATTTCAGAGCCTGCTGTCTCTTCGCCATTACTGTCAAATGCATTGCAATTTGTTATGAAAGCTTTTAAAGCAAAGGGGAAAAGAAAGACATAAGAACATAGATTCCTATTTAGGTGAGGGGAAAAAACACTGTGAAATATGAATTCTGCTACAGAAACTTGTCAGAGGAATTTGTCTCCTAAAAATTAGCCACAGAAATAGGATGACTGAAAAGGCCTCAGCACTGCAACCTTCTATGACACAAATCAAACTTCCACTAAAGAAGCCAGCTGCTTTTTAAACAAAGTGCAAGTAATCTGGAGAAAGAAGATTTAAAAATACTATAGGTGGCACCAACTCCCCCCTCCCAAATATGGAATCATTCAAAGTTTTGTCTTCATTTGTGAAATTGAAAAAATTCAAGGATTGAAGAATGTCATTGCCACTCCTTGCTATGGCTGCTTTAATGTCTTTTGCAGTGTTGAAGAAAGGGGAAATCTTTGCTTCTTGTCTCTATCTAATGTCATAAGCTGCCTGGAATCACCTGTTGGTAAAGTGGATGGCCATTTTATATTTATTTAATTAATAAATAAATCCTCTGATTTGGCTTTGTAGTGATGCTATGATGAATCAGATGAAGCAATCAGATGACGCACGGTGTGGCTTCAGGAAGCCTTAATCCAAAACTTAGTCACATCTGGAGGAATGTCTCAAAAGTTAAAACCACATGGCTTTGTTCCTATTAAGAATGTACTTCAGAATTTCTTTTTTTCTTCCTCTTTATTATATTACTATATATATATGATAAAGGAGACCTGGTGGTGTAGTGGTTAAAGCACAATTTTGTAGGCAAACTCTGCCACAGCCTGGAGTTCGATCCTGATGGAGCTCAAGGTTGACTCAGCTTCCATTGTTCCAAGGTGGGTAAAATTAGATTGTTGGGGCAATGTGCAAAATGATGCTTCTGAATTGTAAACTGCCCAGAGAGTGCTGTAAAGTGGTATATAAGCCTAAGTGCTATTGATATATTAATGCATTATATTGTTTCAATACGAGGGAGACAGTTTGGTTTAGTGATTAAGATACCAGACTAAAAAACAGGAGACTGTGAGTTCAAGTCAGTCTTAGGCATAAGCTTGCTGGGTGCTTTTGGCCAGTCATTCTTTCTTAGCCTGGGAAGGAAGCAATGGCAAACTCATTTTGAAATCTTTCATTTTAATTGGCTTCTGGCCATTCCGGTCTGTTGGAAGATCATGATATCCTGCAGTAACTAATGTCCTGCAGGGAAAGACCACCATCGAAGGAAAAATCAACAAGTATTTCAGGCATCAACTGCAAGCAGACTGGAGATCCTATATTTCCTTCATTCAAGTAGCACTGAATTCTGGAATCATTGCTCAACCGTTAATCCTGAATTTACAAAGACTGAGATCCAGATACTATTTTTGTATTATTATGCAATAGACACCAAGTTTAGAAACTGTTCTGCATAGGGCATGGGTAGGCAACCTTGGCTCTTTTATGACTCGTGGACTTCAACTCCCAGAATTCCTGAGCCAGCCATGCTGGCTCAGGAATTCTGGGAGTTGAAGTCCACGAGTCATAAAAGAGCCAAGGTTGCCTACCCCTGGCATAGGGCAAAGTTATTTATTTTTACAGTTAATAGCATAAGACTTATTATTAATTTCCTAAAGGCCTGTTTAAACAACTAGCTGGGCAAGCAAAGATATAACTTCATCTCCTTCCTACATCTCATTTTATATTCTCAATTTATCTATGCACACTGTTAATGTTTATCCAATGCTCTAAAATGATTTACTACTATCAACCAAGATAAAAAAATTATTATTTCTCTTGCTCAGTTATTCAAAACAACCTAAAGCAAATAATTCCCTTCACATTTTATTTTCAGATAAAATATTTAATTTAATAGTTTTCCTCAATTGTACTTTTTAAAAAATTCACAGAAAAGTATATTTAATTGACTTATTTTTTTCTAGGCTTTCTATATTTCTATACCTTTTAATAGGTCCTAGTAGTGGATTTCCTGAGCAAGAGTGATTCGATTAATGAGTTCATTATAATTCATTAAGGAGTGTTGTGTGGATGGCTGCCTACTTTAATTAGTTTTATTACAGAACAAAATTGCTTCATATACCAAACTCAACGACAAACACATTTGGAAAACATCAGAGTAGTAATCAGACAAAATGTGGACCATTCATTAGACAACCTGTCTAAAGACATTAAAAGCAAGAAGAATATTAAAATGACGGACATTCCAACATTATTAAGTACATTGAATAATTTTTGATATTAAACAATTTCTCAGTTCTAACGATTCTGGGACAAAATGAGCAGTCACAATTCTCAGAAAGAAATCCGTTACAGGAAAGGTGTTGATATGATGCAGGAATTGTTCTATCCATAATTATAGCATATGCTGACAGTAATAGCATCTGAAAGTTTAGAAGGTCACGTTTACTCAGATAATAATTCCTAATAATTCCTAGCT